ATAATTAAATTAAAATCAAATTTTAACAACTTTAATATTTGTCATAAAAATAATAGTAAACTATGGGTGATGAAGTGATGAGCACATGACCAACGGTACGGATTGTATGTCTAATTGATCGAAGATGAGATTGTTGGTAGTGACAAAACCGAGTCACACCATTGACTAGAGCCTATTGATTTTTTTATAATATTTTTTTCAATAGGTGGGGTTTACACAGAAAAATTTAGAATTACGAAAAATCTTTTGGGAGAGGGGTAGGCCATGCACTTTTCCCCTCCCCAACATGCATCTCCCCCGTAATTGGTTGGCAATAAATGAAAATTCAAATCATTTAACATACTAAAAAAAAAATAAAAGAAGATGCAAATGTGAATGAAAAATACCTTTACGCTGAAGTAATCTTAAGTATGGGTAGGTACGGTTCAATTTTAATAACTATTAATTAAATCAAGAAAAATGAGTTATTAGTTTTAGTTATATATTTTAAAGTAATTATTCAGTTTAAATTTTTCAGTAAAAAAATGTTTTTTTTATATATTTTTTGTATTTTTTGAATTTTTTAATTATTATTTTATTAATTATTAATTATTTTTAATAATTAAATTAAAATCAAATTTTAACAACTTTAATATTTGTCATAAAAATAATAGTAAACTATAACTATTGGTGATGAAGTGATGAGCACATGACCAACGTAACGGATTGTATGTATAATTGATCGAAGATGAGATTGTTGGTAGTGACAAAACCAAGTCACACCATTGACTAGAGCTTATTTATTTTTTTATAATATTCTTTTCAATAGGTGGGGTTTACACAGAAAATTTTGGAATTACGAAAAATCTTTTGGGAGAGGGGTAGGCCATGTAATTTTCCCCTCCCCAACATGCATCTACCCCCTGATTGGTTGGCAATAAAAGAAAATTCAAATCGTTTAACATACTAAAAAAAAATAAAAGAAGATGCAAATGTGAATGAAAAATTCCTTTACGCTGAAGTAATCTTAAGTATGGCTGGGTACGGTTCAATTTTAGTTATAATTAAAATTAAATTATCAATTATTTAAAATTTTAAGTTTTAAATTTTAATAACTATTAATTAAATCAAGAAAAATGAGTTATTAGTTTTAGTTATATTTTAAACAGATATTAATTTTTAATTATTATTTTATTAATTTCAATTACTAAAAAACTAAAATTACTCAAATAAATAAATAATTTAGTAAAAATTATTTTAAAACCCTTAAAACAAATTTAAAAATCATTAACAAATTTACATAAAAATTTTTAAAGTTAAATTTTTTTATTATATTCACCATAATCATTAATTTTTTTTTTTTAATTTTAAAACTTTCCTATCTGAACAGCTGGACCACAGACAAGAAATATCTTCATAGTCGAAACTATTTACGTTAAGGTGCAAGATTCCGCACATTCATTTAGCCCAAACTCATGAACTTAGATTCTGTATCTTGTTGAAATCTATATATCTGATAAATTTAAAAATTACATTATATTTCATATATTTAATAATTATAGTTAAATATTTTAATATTTTTAATATTAAAATATTTTAATTTTTTATATATAATATATTCGAGAGGAAAAATGAAAACACTCCTATAAAAATAAAATAAATAAATACACGAGGAAACAAAGCGC